GCCCAGGCGGGTCTCGAACCGGCAGGCTCAGGCAATTCACTCACCTCAGCCTCCCAAAGGTGCGGGATTACAGGCTGAGCCACCGAGCCCGGCCAAAACACCATCTTTAAAAGGCTGATGCCTTTCCCAAGGTTTGCTATCACCTGTGCTTCTACACATATTTAGAAAAAGTCCATGTATGTAGATACAACTGAGACACTCTAAGGAACATTTCGTTTCACTTTAAAGAGGTGAAAATAAAGAGACGACACTGTCATAAAGGGTATGTGAACGGAAACACATTTATTACAAAAAAAACAAAGGAAAAAACAAAAAACAAATTCACATTGTATTGAGCTACAATATGGCAGCAGATAAAAAAAAATATTTGTACACAGTTTTAAGATAACTCCTAAAAGAACAGAGCCTTGTTGCCACGTGACAGGACGCAGGGTCGGAGGACTTAGTAGCGGCGAGTGAAGCGCTCGTCACTGGGTCTGCTGCCGCGGCTCTGGCCTCCAAAGCCGCCGTGCGGGATGGGGTGGCCCCGGGAGGCCCCGCCTGGGGCGAAGCTGCCGCACCTGGAAGAGGTTCCCGTGTCAGTTCGAAGTTCCCCGCTCCTCTGGCCCGTCTCCAGCTGCACGGGGGACCGCCCCACCTCCTGGGCAGCATCATGGACACAACAGTGACATGGGCCCAGCCTGGCTCCCACCCAGGGGAGTGGTGTTGGGAGGAAGACCCCGCTGTTCTGTGCCCTGACAGGTGAGCCGACACGCGAAGGAGGGGCGTGGAGGCTCCGGGGAGCCCCGTGTTGCCAGCCCCAGGCCTTACCCTGACATCCCTCCCCGGTTCATCATGTGGCCGGGCCCAGAGTGGCCAGACATGCTCCTCTCACCGCCTGGAAGAAAGACGCGCTTGTCACAGAGGCCGTGAGCGGGCGCTGCTGCCCTCGCGCGCGTGCAGCCCACGCCCTTCCCCAGCTGGGGTGCCCAGCGACTCTGCGGGAGGCCCGGAGCCACACACTGGCTCCCGAGCCACGGCGGGGGGGGG